AGATCCCAAATATTCGTAATCCTGTCCCCGTGGTTTTATGCACCCCGCATAATTTAGCAAAATTTGATCATTTTTATGCATAATTTATGATCATTTTCCTTTATCATTCTTTGTTAAAATTAACAGAATCGTATAATTTCACATTTTATGGGCTCAGTTTGCATAATTTCAGAATTTTTCTTGGATAAAACGATGGGGACAGGTAACCGGTCAAGTAAGACGTGCGTCTGTGGTGTAGCGATCAGGCGCCTCGCTGTCGCACGAAGGAGACCAAGTTCCATTCCTGATGGGGAGAAATTTTTATCGAGATCTCGGTCTTTCTGGCTGGTGGAGAAAAAGCCCTCTCAGCCCGGGTTGGCCCTTCAAGACGATCTAAATTGTGTCGATGAACACATGCATAAAAAAAAAGGTCGAGTGAGTACCAATGAGGGGGGGGGGGAGGGCTCCATTTTATTTTTTTAACCATAACATTGATTCAAGATCTCTTCTTTTTTCCCCTGTATCCGTCTCAGGTCAGGAGCGCTTCACGTTCATGACGAGGGCGTACTACAAGGACGCTCGGGGCTGTATCCTCATGTTTGACGTCACCAACAAGCTGACCTTTGACAAAGTCCGGAAGTGGAAGGCTGACCTCGACTCCAAAGCGAGGCTCTCAGACGGCAATATGATACCATGTCTACTGGTGGCCAACAAGGTATGAGCTACGCTGGTAGATCATATTATTTATACTACGAGAGTTGCGATATTATTTTTATTGTTGTTACTATTTGCATCACCGTGGTGTTTATGTGTGTGCATGTGTGTGTTTGCGTGTGTTCGTGCGTGGGTCTGTCTGTCTGTCTGTCTGTCTGTCTGTCTGTCTGTCTGTCTGTCTGTCAGTCTGTCTGTGTGTATGTGTGTATGTGTGTTTGTGCGTGTGCGTGAATGAGAGAGACACACAGAGAGAGACATACACACACACACACACACACACAGAGAGAGAGAGAGAGAGAGAGAGAGAGAGAGAGAGAGAGAGAGAGAGAGAAAAGAGAAGAGAGTACTGTTCATAGTAGTGGTAGTGAGGCGTAGAGGTGATAAATGTATAAATGATACTATATTATTTTGTCACGTTCTTTTTCTCCTCCAGTCTGACCTGGAAAGCCCTCAAGTGACCCACAAGCAAATCTCTGAGATGTGTACAGAGCACGAGTTTGTGGGCTGGACAGAGACCTCAGTGAAGGAAGATCACATGATTAAAGAGTCTGTCTCGTGAGTAGATGACGTAATCGAAATATGAACTCTTCATCACCCTTGCCTTGCTGTAACCTTATCCTTAACTGTTAATAATTTATTAATAGAAGTTGCAGCTATTTATGTTTACGTGTCGATAAAGCCTCTGTCTCTTAATTAAGTAATCGTTGTAAACTGCAAAGAGCATGCTGTAGAGCGTGGATATGCACTATTATTATAGTAGTAGAAGTAGTAGTAGTTGTAGTTTCTCTTCATATTGGCAGTCGACTGGCTGATGAAGGAAACCACCAGAGGACACAGAAATGGTATACAGTGGACACCATGGACACAGTTGGACGATCTGAATTTTGCCAACGACTTGGCGCTTCTGTCGCACACACAGGAACAGATGCAAGCAAAGACTTCAGTATTAAACAGCCTATCGGAGTCTGTTGGATTGAGGATCCACCCCGGAAAGTCAAAGGTCCTAAGGGCAGATGCACAACGAAAGGAGCAGGTCACAATAGAAGGAAAGGCACTAGAAAACGTTGAATCTTTCTCCTATCTTGGGAGTATAATTGGCAGAGAGGGAGGAACAGGTGCTGAAATAAAGTCCCGCATTGAAAAAGCACAGGCTGCATTCCTATCTTTGGACAGGATTTGGAAGACCAGAGATATCACACTTCGAACAAAGCTGAGAATTTTCAATTCACATGTGAAGTCGGTCCTGATGTATGGATGTGAGACATGGAACGCATCACAGACTTGCATAAAGATGATCCAGGTTTTCTTGAACAGGTGTCTAAGAAATTTACTGAGGATCAGATGGACAGCCAGGGTCACCAATGTGGAAGTGTTAAGGAAAACAAGACAGATCAAAGTCAGAGATGAGGTAGGAAGAAGGCGGTGGCGATGGATTGGACATACTCTCTGGAAGTCAGGCAGCTGCATAACAAAGAAAGTTTTGGATTGGAACCCACAGGGTAAGAGATCAAGTGGAAGACCACGTGGAACCTGGAGAAGAATCACAGAAATCGATGTACAGAAAAGCGGGAAGACATGGAATAACATCAAGAGGCTAGCCCAGGATAGAGAAAAGTGGAAAGTGTTTGTCCGTGGCCTATACCCTGGTGCAGGGTGAGAAAGGCAATGGTGATGATGTAGTAGTAGTAGTAGTAGTAGTAGTAGTAGTAGTAGTAGTAGTAGTAGTAGTAGCAGCAGCAGCAGCAGTTGTTTCAGGCGGATGGATGGAAGGCGCAACTGATAGTTCCTACTTCTTTACTTCCCCTGTTGTTGTTTCTGTCTGTCTGTCTTACTTTTCCCCAGCACTAAATGAATGACGATTATTGTGTCAATGTGCTTCTCTTTACTGAAGCAAATATTTGGGGTCAGTTTTCCTTGTAGATCTATGCTATATTAATCATACCTACTTCTGTGGTTTGTGTCCTACACTTATTTGACTAATGTGGCTCCTTCTACCACCCACGGCCACTGCTGATACTATACTAGTATAATCTCTCACGTGTCCAACATTAACGACACTATCACCTTTAATATCACTACAACAACTTCCTATACATCGGCTATTGATTTCTATAGGTCCTTACAATCAACACTGACACAATAAGCAGTACTTCAGCTGGTAATGCAATGATCTACATCATTACCAGTAAGATTGGCGATGATGTAATAATAATAATAATAATAGTAATAATAATAATAATAATAATAATAATAATAATAATAATAATAATAATAATAATAATAATAATAATAATAATGGTGAAAATAATAATGATATTGACAGAGAATAATATGCAAAATTCCACTTTTTATTTATCTTCGTTGGGAAATTTGGTTTACAATTTTTGTCGTAACATACACATACATATTATACATAGATACATACATATTGAAACATAGCTATGCTATAAACACGGTATTGCTGGAATGAGCCTATAGCTCAGTTTATGGAGGTAGAGATAACAAAATGAGCTGTAGAAGCTCTGCCCCCTATAGGGTAATTAAATGTTCGATATTACAATGCAATAATGAATGTGTTAAATGTCATCATATTGACAGCATTTATCACACACGAGTGTATTCGGAGACAATCTGAAATCTTTTTAAAAGGTTCTAGTCACTCTTTCAATCGATTGAGCCCGTGAATGGTTACTGGTTACTTGTTTGGAGAATAGATATCATTGCAGGCGGTACAATGCCATAGCTGCTCCTCCCTCCTGTACAGGACCCATGCAAGGATTGGCTTGCTTATCGCGCCAGTTATCAGCAGGTTGGATATTCTTCTGACTTGTCCACCCAGGTTGTCTCTCCCCGAACCTCTAGAGACAGCAGCTTCCCTCAGTCTTTCCATTGTGTGTGATGTGGAGCCTTAACCTTCTCTGTGGTCGTTGAACTATGTTGTCAATGCTGCCATGACTCTAGGTAGATTTAACTGCTTGGTACCGCCAATCTCCTCCTGGCCGGCTAGCTTATCATTGCCTTGAACTCCTGCATGACCAAGGTTAAAGACCAAACAATCTTTGTGAGTTGAGGCCTATGGTGTAATGCATAGGCCATAGGCGCCTCAACCTGCACTTGAAAGGAGTGGGATCAGTTCAAATGTCGAGAATATACACCGGGTTTCTCCGTTAGGCACTCTCCCACTCAGTCCCGGTCTACCCTGACAAGCAGGCTGAAGCAGCTTACCTTCTTAGTTTTAATGATCTGTTAGGATTCAAACTGTGTCGCTGACATGACGGCCCTCACCCCTCCCAAATAAAAAAACCTAACAAACAGAAATGAGCCAGTTTTTGCAGTTAATTTCGATATAATGCTTCTCTTTTATCCAGATACAGACCACGTTTTTTTTCTTTGTCCAGGTACCTCCTGGACGTGATCAAAGGCAAGTGTCCCCGGGTCCCGCCCCCACGACAAAGCGGATTCATCGACTCCGTGGTGCTTAAGTCAACAGACGTTAACAAATCCTCCTGCCCCTGCTGACATTGAGCACAACCATAGTTATTCCAACAGAGTTGTTTTCTTTTTCTTTTTGAGGAAAAAAAGGTCGTCGGGTGTGTGTGTG